TTCTTTGTAAGAGAAGAAAGGGAGCCTCTGTCTATGGTACCAGGGTTAATATCCCACAATCAGTCTTTGTTTCCTCCTCTTTACAATGGTCAACACAAATTGCCAGGTTTTTCCTTAGAGGTACAGGGTGTGCCAGGAAGTGCATGGCAGGAGTGGCCTGTTGAGTCTGTGCTCACAGGGGTTTATAGTACATCAGCCAGCTGCCTGAATCTTCTCTCCACAGTTGAAGGAAGGCTCCCACACAACCATGTTTTCCTTAGATGAACTGTGTATGTAAATAGCTGTTCTGCTTAACTAAGAATATCTGTATCAGGTCTTCTTCTCTGACCAGAGGAGCTTAGAAGCAAACAATACATAAGGAAATCAGCAAGGATCTAAGGAGTGGTTTGTTTTGAAAAAAGCAAATTTGCAAAGCCTTATTCCCCTGGACATTATGCTTTGTTATGCTTATTTTGTTTAGAGGAAATGAAACAATGTTCTAGCTGATTAATAAACAGATATTGAACGTCTACTGTGTGGTGAATAAATGGGCATACAGTGTGTGAAGTGATCCTGGGTGGGAAAGGGTTGGGGGTAAGTAAATGTAGACTGTGGTCCTGATAATCCATTTCCACCATGCACACTCAAATGCCTTTCGGAAGCATGTGATGCCAATAAGGTGTGTGAAGATACCTGGGGGAAAGTCGTCAGGATGGAAAAGATAAGAAATAGATAGTTGGACTTCTGGGTTTAAATGTGGTCACATGATAAGCATATGCTGATCTATAAGGGCAATTAGCATCTACAATTTAGGATGGGGTTTGCCTAGCTTAAGATAAAACTGACCCAGGTTCCGTGCAGAGCGTCCACGATGCTCAAACAACACCTGGCCCAGCTTGCTACTTTAGGCTTTTTCAATTAAACTTCACAATGAATGTTTTTCTTTTTGAAAAAAAAAAAAACTCAGATATTTAAAACTTATGAAACATGAGCTCAGCGTGTGGCTCATACCTGTAATTCCAGAGCTCATGAGGCTAAGGAAAGAGGAGGAATGCTACAAGTTCAAGACCAACCCAAGCTGCACAGTGAGTTCTGGGCTAGTCTGGGCTGCACAATGAGTTCTGGGTTGTTCTGGGCTGTCTCAAAAACCAAAACCCAAATATAAGAATGAAGATGACACTAATAATTCCCCGGAAGAAATCTCTCTGATATGGCCCAGTGATGATCTGCACCCTCTCTCCATCCATGCCTGTTCTAATATTCAAAGAGCATCTGAGGGATTTAGGAAGCAGCTGCCACTAAGTGGGAAGTTCCACAGGTTTCTGTACTTCTCTGCGCACTGGAGCTCTGAGCAATGTCCTGCAGGGTCCTCTTTGCCATGTCCATCAGGTTCTGGGCTCCATGGTTTGCTCCATTTCTCCGGCTGCTGCTCTTTGCTGGTTCCTTCACCTGCCCTGTTTATGTCCGAGCTTTTCTCACTTCTTTCTTCCCTTCTTGCTCTTAAAAATTCCACCGTAAAAGGGGGAGCCTGCTTGGAAGAGGTTAGGTCACCGTGGTTCTCCCTTGAGGGGGATATTGGGTTGCAGGACTCTTCCTCTCTCCAGCTTCTTGGACTGCCATGAAGTAGGCAGCCTTTCCCACCATAGTCCCCCCCACCTTCTCCCTTGCCCACTGTATCCCCACTTCCTGCACCACCCTGTTTAGTCTTTGGATTCAGGAACTACATGGCCATCTGTGCTCATGAACTACGACTCTTGTATATAGCATGCCCCAAAGTCACACTATATTGTTGTTCTTCACGGAATCCTTCCCTCCAGGGCAACGCCCAGTTGATCATGTCAGAACCCTTGACTCAGTGTTTTTCTTATACAATCAAGCACCCCAATCCTCTGTGATCTACCAATGAATATAGATAGAAAATGTTCTTTTAGCTTTCTTGCTAACCATCTATGGTTCTTTCCATGCTATCAAATCCTATTCACACCAGACAAAACAAATTGTTTTCAGAAAATAAAGTTGTTTACATAGGACAAAATTATATTTTCACCATTGCAATAATTCAGATACACAATACTTAACTTCTTTTTTTTCTAAACTGGACTTAATTCCTACCTCTTAGTACTAATTTCTGTTTCCTAGTATTTTTAAAAGAATGTGTGGAGGATGTGCACATATGTGTGATCACGTGTGGGGGCCAGAAGTTGATGTTGGGTATCTTCCTCTGACGCCCTCCAGTGTAGTTACTGAGGTAGGGTCTCTTGATGAACCCAGAACTTGCCAGTTTGGCCAGTTTAGCTAGCCATTTTGTACATCCTGTCTCTACGTTGTGAGTGCTGGTCTAACCAGGCTGCCACACTCACCAGGCTCTTTTATCCCTGTGCTGGGAATCCAGACTCTGGTGCTTCTGCTTGTTCAGCAAGTGCTGTACTTACTGGGCCACTCCCCACTGCCTTCTGGCATTATTTCCAATAAATCCTGCTTTCAATTGTCTTAATATCTGAAATTAGTGTCTTAATACTATCCCCTTTTGCTAACTGGAGCCACATCTACATTGGAGGTGAGGTGAAATGGGAGCAGCTTCCTTGCATTGATGTAGAGAGGCCATTTACTCTTTGGCCAGTTATCAGCATCTGCTGGGCAACCATCTCATCTGTCTCTGATGGCTTGAAGGCATCTCCCAACATCACACTTTATTTCTGGGCTCTGCCCTGTGAAGTCATTTCAGATCCTGGTCTCTTGCCCATCTGGGCTCTCTCCCAGGCACTTTCTTAGTTACTATTGAATGTGCAGGACTTTAAAGAGGTAGAGTGGAACTCATGTTCTCTACACGTGCAAGGGCAAAACCCTCAGGGGGTTTCAAGAAGTGCTTCTGAGTTACAGTCTTCTTCCTAATACATGCCAGCTCATGAAGAGACAATGGCAGGCTGAAGAATAAAGTGAAGACCGGTGACTTCTGCTTTCAGGCCTGCCCAACCTTCCCAAGAAGAACAAAGCAGAAAGCTGGCGACATATCAACAGCTCCATTCATCTCCAGGACTCTCCCACTTCTGTGTTTCCTTTTGTGCAGTGGATGGGAGTAGGAACTGCTGGCCTTTGCCTGGCTTTTCTGCGTCCCCACACCATCTGCACCTTCAGCTGCCTCTGAAATCTTGAGTCAATCTACTGTCACTGCCCCTCACCCCCACCCCCTCTATCGAGTCCCTCTGGCACAGGACATGGGCAGAAGTCAACCTAATAGGCTTTTGCGGAATTTTGTTCTTCTCACTGTAAGACGTTCTGGTCAAAGCCAGGAAGCATGAGTGTAGCAGCACCCAAGGGTCACTCTATGCACAGCTGTGTCTGTCCAGCTTCACTACAAACAATATGGCATGGTAATTGATAGGAACTTGAAGATACTGCCACTTTCTTCCAGGTCAGGCCAAAGGCCACCATCATTCAGAGGGTTTAGCAAGGAAAACAAAAGAAGCTACCTGAGGTCAGGTGACTTCCTGTTTTTGCTGAGAGCTACACATTACAGAAATCTGGTCAAGAGAGCAAAGGGCTTGATAGTGAAGGGAAAGAAAAGATTTTTTTTTTTAGAAGAATCCTGAAGAGTCAGCAGGTTCTAGAGGGGTGGGTAGGGCTCCTGAGGCTTTTAGTAGAAGTTCCCCAATCCCCTCTCCCTCCACCCCAGCATAGGATAGGCCACAGAGAAGAGACTTCCTGGGACATGGGTGAGACCAGATTTCTAGTTTTCTGATCCTGCTTGCAGGACATGCTGCTGCCACTGTGGAGACTGTAGCGGCCAGTAGGGGCCATGGGTGTCCTGATAATAACTCACGGACAAATAACTGGTGACTATGGGCTCTACCTGCTCCTTCAGAGACACAGAAGATCCCAGGGCCTTTGCACATTCCTAAAGGACTGGGATCTGATAATTCCAGAGATGGGGCGGAGTGTGACTGGAGATGATGCTAATGAGGATGTGGATATGAGAGAACCCTTACACAGTACTAATGGGAAAGTAAACCAGTGCAGCTACCGTCTGTGGAAATCAGTATGGGGGTTTCCCAAAAATCTAAAAATAGATCTAACATATGGTCCAGATAGACCACTCCCGGGTATTTACCCAAAGGACCCCAAGTCATGATTATCACAGAGATACCTCATATCAATGTTTGTTACAGTGCTATCGGAACCAACTGAGGTGTCCAACAATAGAGAGATGGACACAGACAACATAACACACACAGTGCAATTGTTTTCAGCCATAAAAAAATGAAGTTGTAGCATTTGCGGGAAAATAGATGTGGGTGGAAATTACCATGTTAAGTGAATTAAGTCAGTCCCAGAAAGACATGTGTATACGCTTTCTCTTATTTGTGGCTCCTAGACTTTGTACAGATACATGAAATCATGTGTACATATATGACATAAAAGTAGAAATGAAACTGTCTAGGGGAACACAGGAGACTGACAGGAAGGGGAAGGGATGGGAAAGGGGAGCATAGAGTAATGGGGAGAAGTAAGCTCAGCATGCAACATATACTTGTATGAATATATTCTTACACAGCACAGTGCCATGAACAATCAATAAACTCAATGAAAAATTAAAGAAAATGTAACCCCAGTAGTTCTGTGTCTCTGAGCAGGGGTTTGGAGGCTCCACACTCTTATAGATGCAACCCTGAAATAGGACTATTTCACATGTTTGCTTTCTCTTACTAATCTGACATCATAGCTTCCCTCTCTGAGCTACCTCTTACTCTCTGCTGGTGTCATAGGCCAAATTAAGTTGTATAAAAGGGACAAAATAATGAGGAACCCCTCCTAGGAGAGTGAAATCAGAGACAGCAGGAGGTGGGTAGAACATTCTGGAAGAATGTGTGTCTGTTTATAAGAAACAGAATGAAACAAAGGCTTCAGTTCTTCCATGATGTAGAACATCACCTCAGGTCTACCATAGAACATGGGTGAGAAACTAAGACACAGAGTCTGGAATTTCCTTCCCTGTAAGTGGCTCTACCATTGCTGATCTTTACCTGAGAGGTACTGATGAGTAGAAACACGTCTATTAACTGGTTTATGATGATAGATACCCAGATAAAATGGCTTCAGTTGTTGTGACAAAATCATTTCATTCAAGTTTTTCTGCAGAATGAAATACTCTTCAGATAACTTTGATATCTAAAAAGAAGGCCATATATCAGATTAAATCAAAGACAAGAATCCCAGGGCTCCACAGGCACACAGAATACACAGTTCCTTACTAGACTCCCTGGAACTCTCAAGTTCTCCTAGAGTTACCTAGACTCTTGTACCCATGTCTAATAAAGTCCCCACTTTATACAAGCTTCTACTCTGGGCTTCTGGTCCGTGTCATTTTTTTTTTTCATCATAAGTTGCAAACCTGTGATGCTACACTCAGCATCTATCCACATCGCTTCCTGGGGCTCCTCAGATCTGGCTTCTGCACTTACCTCGCTGAAGTGGTAGTCTACTTCTAAGGACCCTACTGGCCTCCAGTTGTGTTAAGGTTCCCTACTTCCTCTCAGTCTCCTTGGCTGACTCAAGACTTAGAACTCTTCTTCCCTTGCTTCATCCCCTCATTTCCACACTCGACCTCCCAGCTCTTCTGCATTCCATCCCCTGTAACCTGGATCTCTTGCTAGGGTGAGTGTAGGGTTCATGATTTTTCTGCCTCTAGGTTTGCACGAGCCAGTATTCCTACCTTTCTTCATCTGTCTCAGCTGTACATCATCTCTGGGGTTCTAATACCGGATTTGATCTTTGGTGAGAAAATTAGTGCAACAAAGAAAAGAAAGATTGCATGCATGCAAAACTCACTTTTGAGGTGCTTGAAAAACGAAAACCATGCTATAGTCCACAGACCCAGAGAGGCTAGGTAACAAGCAGGGCCCAGGGCGGGACACATGGATCTCCCTGGGAAAGGGAAATAGAGGAGATCTCCTGGGTGGACTGGGGGCGGTGGGGATGGGAACTTGAGGGATTGTGTTAGGGTGTAGATGGAGGGGGAAAATACTGAATGAGATGATTGGAAAGGGGGAGGGGCATTTCCAGGTCAGGTAGAAACCTGATGCTAGGGAAACTCTCATGAATCTACTCCTAACAATAGTGGATAATAGCCTGAACTGGACCTCTCCTGCAATCAGATTGGTGACTACCACAATTGTCATCAGAGAGCCTTCATTCCAGTGACTAGTGGAAACTGATTCAGAGACTCACTGCCAAATATTAGCCCAAGCTCGGGGAATCCTGCTGAAGAGAATGAGGAAGGAATGTAGGAGCCAGAGGGGTCAAGGACATCACAAGAAAACCCACAGAAACAGCTAACCTGGCTCATAGGAATTTAGAGTCCGGACCAACAACCAGGGAGCCTGCACATGACCGACGTAGGCCCTCTACATATATATAACAGTCGTGTAGCTTGGTCTACTTGTGGGACTCCTAACAATGGGAGCAGCGGCTGTCCCTGAGGCTTTGGCTGGCTCTTGGGCACCTATTCCTCATACTGGGTCGCCTTGCCAGACTTAATACAAGGGGAGGTGCTTAGTCTTATACAACTTGATATACCATGTTCTGTTGATACCCACGGGAGGCTTGCCCCTTTCTAAACAGAAACAAAGGAGGAGCGGACTGAGGTGGAGACAGTAGAGCGGAGGTGGAGGGGAAGATGGGAGGAGAGGAGAAACTTCAGTTGGGATGCAAAAAAAATAAATAAATAAAATAAAAAAATGAAAGTATTTTCAAACCAGAAATAAGCATCTTCACACAATGGTTAATAAAATAGAAGAGGAAGGGGCTAGGAAATTAATAAGTAACAGATTTCCACTGATTGCTAAAGGGCAGAGATGCTTGGGTCTAACCTCAAGGTAGAGCTCTAGAGCAGGCATTATGCTCTCTCAGGGTATAGCTTCCACAGGGAAAAAAACTTAGTTTAGAGATCAGAGATATTGGATATCCTCCTTTGAACCATCCTACTATAGAATTTTCTTCTGTTATTTCACAGACCACTGACTACTCTGGTAATTTATGCATTCCAGAGGTCATCTTGGTAACATCTGTCACTCTACATAGGATGAGGTAAACGTACTAACACAGGCAGACATTTTCTTAAGGTCAGGTACCTAGAAAGAGAGAACAGGAATGAGCATTTGCTGCTCTTGTGATCTCTCCCTGGTACATTCTTGGCCGGAGCTGCTTATTGTCATGAGACTTTCACGTTCATCAAATAGGGGCCCTGTCAAGCTTCCTATCAGGTCTTAACAGCTAATTATGCCAAACAAGCTAAAGTTTGGGGAAGGGAGAAAGTCTATGCTTTCAGTTTTTAAAAATCATAAAAAAAGAAAGAACCCATATTTTTAGTGAAAACAAAAGATTTCACAGAGACACAAATTTTTCTACTACCCAGCAGTAACACCTCAGTAAGTGATAGAAACCGACATCTGGTACCTTACTATGTGTGGCTGCTATCATAATTTTATTCTTTATTCTTATGACAATCCATGGGCATAAAAGTACATGGCTACTTTAATAAGTGCAGCCATCAATACATTTTATTAAAAATGTCTCACAAACACAGATAAAACACTTCCTCCGTTATTTACTATGTGTTTAGTCAGTTACTGGGTATTTCCCAGAGACATTTATTAGTAAATAAATTTATTTACATACCTGTCTTGAAAACATTGCCAAATCACAGGCTTCTTTCTTCGAAGCCGCCTTTGAGTCTCTGTCGCTTGTCACCTTGAGAGGATGGGTCTCCTCATGCTTTGTAGGACAGGAATAAACACTGTGAATGTTTCTTGCTCCTTCTGTGGGTGATGAAATGATCTTTTGATTCTTAAAGGAAGGTGACAGCCTGTCCTCCCTCACCTGCTGCTTTGGCTTGGAACTCCGGTATTTGCTCTGAACGAACACGGCAGCCTTGTCTTCCTCCTGCTCCACTGGCCCCCTGTCTTTTTCTCCGAGGAACCCATGCAGGCGATGATACTCTCTCTCCAGGTTGCATAGCCGTGCATTCTGGGTAACCACAGATGTCTTCTTTTCTTTGGCTTTGCTGTCTACATTTTGATAGACTGACCTTTGGCTAAGACTAGGATCCAAGGTTTTTCTCAGGTAAATCTCCTCAGTTAGCCATAGTCCTGGGCAGCTTGGCTTCTCCCATGTCTCCTCCCTTTCTAGACATGTTGCTTTTGACTCTTCAAAGTTCCTCCCCTCTGTGTACCACTGACAGTAAGTTTGGATCACAGTGCCCCCTTTCTCCTCTTTCCCTATCTTCCTGCTTTCTTCCAGGTCTTGCATATATTTCTTCCCAGGGCTTACTTCTGCCCAAGGGTCCCCCACAACACACAGCTCTTGATTCCGCTCTTCCCCGTACACATTGCTGATTTTCTTCTGAGTCTGGTATCTTTTGTTGTTACTCTCAGCAACATTGGTGGTTTTCCCCTCAGCTCTGAAGGGAGCTGTCCTTCCTGAAGATGGGCTCTCTTTGTTGTTTGGAGCTGAAATGTTGGATTCATTAGTAAACGCTGCATTTTCTGTCTGTTTCTTCACAAAAGATTCCCTGTGCAAAACATGCATCTGGACATAAGGTAATGCTAAATGAGAGCATATTACTTTTGTCAGTAGTGATGTGCAACATTGTATGGTAAGAAAGGCAAAAGAAACAAAGAAAACTTAAAATAAAAACAAGTCAAGTCTTGTTAATAAAGTTTGTCACAAAATGTTGTCTGTATTGACAACTGATAGGTTATTCGAATAAAAAAAAACCAGTTTAAATTTGGAATGGGAAACAGGCTAGCATGGGAAGAACTATATTTCTATTTGATGAGGTACAAAAATTCTACACATGATCAAGCCACTCAAAAATTCAGCATAGGTGGAGAGAGGTTCATGGAACACCACCCCTAGCTGAGGAACTTTGGCAGGTGAAGGCTGCTGGGGTAGAGAGAGACTTCTTTTTCAGGTTGGTGGCCCCTGTTAGGTAGTGCATGGCCAGTGGATTGCCGTACATCCATGCACATAAGAACAGCATTGATTGGAGTCAGTGGGCTATGAAAAGAGGACATGAAATTGTGAAGAGGATGTGGCAGGAGGTGAGGTTGTCTGGGAGGAATTGGAGGGGAACAGGTGATTGGTATGATCAAAATACATTGTATACATCTATGAAATTCTCAAGAATGAAAAAAATTGTCAAAAATTCTAGGAGTTAATCCTTTCAAAATATAACCTCTATAACAAAGAATACTGCCAGATACTCTAGGCCTGTAGGCTAAAGATAGATGCCCCAACTTTGCAAAGGAACTTTGGATGACTGTCCAGGCAGCCAAATGTCTCTGTTGTTAGGTAATATTGCATCCTTCTGGGTCTTTGTTGGAATTTAAGACTAAACAGTTACAGTTACAGTTTTCCTTAATTATGATAAAAAGTAAGTTAGATATAAAATTTTGGATTCACTAATATAAGATAGGCAATGCATTGTTTTTCTCTAAATAGGCTAACTACAAATAAGCAGAATATTATAAATATAATCTTTACTTGATAATTGTTATTATATATAGTCTTACTATGTTTAAGTTAAAACCCTTTCATTTTTATTTAGACAAAAAGGGGAAGATGTTGGGGAATATTATTTTAAGATTTGTTATTTTTGCTTATGTTGTATTTGATTAACTCTGTGAAGCTGTGTTAATGTGCCTGTCTAAAACATCTGATGTTCTAACAAAGAACTGGCCCATAGCAAGGCAGGAGAAAGGATAGGCGGGGCTGACAGGAAGAGAGAAGATATAGAAAGAGAAATCTAGGAAGAGGAAAGAGAAATCAAGGAGCCAGAGAAGGAGGAGGACTCCAGGGACCAGCCACCCAGCTACACAGCAAGCCATGGAGTAAGAGTAAGATTTACAGAAGTAAGAGAACAGAAAAAAGGTAGCAAAAAGTAGCAAAAAGTAGATGAGCTAACTTAAGTTAAGGAAAGCTGGCAAGAAATAAACCAAGCTAAGGCCGGGCATTTATAAGTAAGAATAAGCCTCCATATATGATTTATTTGAGAGATAGGTGGTGGGCCCCCAAAGGAGTAAAAAACAAACTACAACAGAGTACATAATAATAAGTTGTAGACAATATATCCTGTTTTGGAGCCAGTAGTCAGAGTGCATTCCCCAGGCTCACATACTAGACTTCAATGAGCACCAAACTCAGTGATCCCAGGAAATACCACGCAAAATTAAAGTGAAATCGCTGTCCTCGGTCCACTCATGATTGAGTAATGTACAATGAGTCTCCTCCATTTGAAGACAGGGATGTAAGGACTTCTGTATGTCATTTTCTTCCTCCTTCTCCAGCAGTATAAAACCCATATAAGAACACCGCAGTCATGAAAAGGGCATTTTACTGTAGAGTTAAAAACTCATGATCTGACATCTGAATTCCTTCTCCTGGGATTGGTGGAGGCGAAGTGGGGTAGGGGTGGGGTTGGTTGTGGGTTGGGGGATGGCTGCTCAGAACTTCTACTTGGCCCTGTAGCCTGTGTGAGGGTTTTGGTCTTTTAGAATCTGGTTGTGAGGAAGGACTCTTACTTGAGTCAGATTAGAAAAACACGCTGGGATTCCATCTCCCCACTTCTTTTCTACTGTATTGTTTGAGGCAAGCTCTTGCTGTGAAGCTCATCAGGGTCTTCCCATCCCCGTTTCCTAAATGCAGGGATCACAGGCCACATCCTGCCCATTTCCCTAGTTTTATTGAGCACTTCTTAGACACTTGGTGGCATCTTCAGGCTTGTAACAGTGGCATAACAGAGTACTGGGAGGATCAGTCAGAAAACATGGTGGAGATCACACATCCTCTTATTTCATTTAGTCCTTACATGGTGTTTTGAACACTTTCATAGTGCCTTCTGAGAATATTTAATTTCATCAAAAGGTAATCGAGATAAGATAAACATGGAGTCTCTAAATGGCTACTTGCCAAGAACCATTGGAAACTGTTTTTGAGACTTTTTATCTTACTGGTGAGACACTGCTGTATACATGGCTAGGATTCCAAGGTTCGCCTCACCATGGTGACATGTGTGAATTCACTCTGTCCCTGAGCTAGTCCAGCACTGCAGGACCTCAGAGACACATGGGGGTGGTGGTGGAGGTGGGGGTGCTTCTCAGGAGAATGGCTCAGATCTCCAGCCTGAGAAGAACAGCTGACCTCTTCTGACACCTGCTGGACAGGCTCAGAGGTCTTCACCTTTCTATGAACGAGGTTTTCCTAGGTCACAGAGCAGATGTGCTCAGTTAAGGCAGAAGTAAAGTGAGGACTGTAGACGGACAGGTGGGGTGTGTGAGTGTGAAGGAAAGGCAGGGGCTCTAGAGAGCTAAGGGCTCCAGGGTGCAGGTCTTGGGATGTGGTGTGCACCAGGCCGCTCTTTCCCCAATCTTCTCTCATTCCTATCCAGGCTCTCTTTGAGTCTACAAGTAGCAATTTCTAAAAACAGTAAAAGCTGTGTGTGTGTTATGTATGTATGTATGTATGTATGTATGTATGTATGTGCGTATGTGTGGTATATGCATATGTAAATGTATGAGTGTGCATGAATATGGAGGCCTGAGGTTGAAGTTGGGTGTCTTCCTTAATTGTTCTCCATCTTATTTTTAAGGCAAGGCCACTCACTGAACCTGGAGCTCACCGATTCAGCTAAGATGACCAGTCAGTTGGTCGACTCCAGGGATCTACCTGTTTCTGTTTCTTAGTGCTGGGATTATAGAGGTGTGCTGCCACATCTGTTTTTTTTTTTATGTGGGTACTGGAGAGTTGAACTCAGTTTCTTATGCATGTTGGCAAGCACTTTACTTCTGCATATTATCTATCATCTATCTATTTATCTATCATATCAACCAATCAATTATCTATCTATCTATCAATCTATCTATCTATCTATCTATCTATCTATCTATCTATTATTTTATGATTGTAAAAACACATAACTATATATTAATGGGGTACTATGTGATGTTTTATGCATTTATATAACATCTAATCAGATTAATCCTACCCAACTCCTCAAACATGTATCAGTTTTTTATGGGGAAAATATTCAATATCTTTATATGTTTTTAATGTCTGTGTGATCCATCTGTCCAAAGTCAAATATCTCATCCTAGATTATGTGGGGACAGTTTCTTATTAATACTTGTATACCCTAAAGGGGAATTTGTAGGTGGTAGAGTTCTATTCAGTGTCTGTAAACTGAAAAGGAATTCTGATGTCTTCAGAAAAAAGGTGGAAGCAAATTGGTATATAATTGAACTGTGGATCTCCTCAATACATGTAATATCTACAAGCAGTAGTATTTCCAGAAGTAGTAATATCAGTCCATCTTTCTCTCATACGCACCCAGTTTATACTTCTCTGGCTTCTGTCATGTAGATCCTGCCCATGAGGCAGACATGGGGTCTCCCTGGAGTTTGCAGGGCAGTTTTACAACCATTAACAAGGAAAAACACATCATTTGGACCATGAGAGGCAACATCAAAGGGCACATACATAGGCCTCTGAGCACACAGAAAACTGAAAACATTAAATGCCTCTAAATTTCAAATCAACATTGATGTTTGTTAAATAAGGAAATAAGGTTGGTCTGTATGATAATGGGAGAGTGTGCATGAAGGGAGAGGAGGGAGGTAACAAGTGTCCATAAATTCACTGTTGGCGTGAGTGTTGGGTGTGGGAATAACACATGTGGTTGAGTGGAGAGAAAAACCGTCTCTTCTTCCATTTTATTTGTCCACCCTTTCCATGGTTAAGACAAAGGGTCCAAGGCTGAGTGTGGAGGGACCTTCACATCTCTAGAGAACTATTTACTAATATTTTCATCAGTTCATTTTACCACTTGGACCAAAACTATTTTACCTTCGTTAATCTGTGGTAATCAAGACAGAATCCTCTACACTTTATATCCTCCACGTTCTCTGTATAGCTAAACGACATTTTTCTTCTTTGTATGATATTGAGGCTTGAACTCAGGGCTTTATTACACCAGGTTAAGTGCTTCACCATAACCTTCCGTTTATATCTATTTATAGCAGAGCCAGCAAACCTTACTAGCAATTTATTGGTCATATTCTTTTTCATGATACTGTGAGTCATTTGAGGATAAGGATTTTGTTTCTTTAATCTCTGTATCCCACCACCTAACACAAAGTCTGCTGAATAAATGAATTCTTGTGGACCCACTAATAGGCACCTTGAAATACGCATAGAAAGGCCCAGGGGAGGAAAAAGGGCAGCTGGTGACTAAGATTAGGACTGACTGTATATTGGCTGCTATGGCCATAGGAATAAATGGGAGGGCTCGGGGACATTTAGATGGGGATGGAGATGTTATTGTGAGTGGCAAGAGAATCGTTGTCAAGGGACATCCAGCCCTTGGAGTAGAACTGCAGAGGGCTGTCCCTTAGAAGCCAAGAGATGGAGGAGCCCTCTGGGAATCAAAGTGAGACCATGAGAATAAGATGCCCATGAACTCCCAGATAGACAAGGTGGTTGTGTGTTTCCCTGGGATTTGATGTATCAGTAACAGACAGGAACAACAAAGACTGGAAACATTATTCGACAACCTTGGAACACCTTGATGGCAAAACGGTGTCAGACAGAACATCATTGTACCTTTTAGTTTCAAAGTTTTTCTTGTAGTCAAATTCCCGATCACTAGCCTGCATGTTCGTTACTGCTGTGTTTTTCACGTTAGCAGTTTCTTTTCCTTGTTTTCTCATGAGATGTCTTCTTGCAGCTGAAACACATAAGGAACAAAGGAGTAGTAGGCACAAGAAATAAAAGAACATTAAATGAATGCAAACTAGTGGTTTTGACCATCATTGTCACAGAAAAAAATGAAAGTAAAGATGCTTAATTGATGAGTTTTTTTTTAAAAATGGGAATCATGAACAAGACAGTTTTAGATATAATCTACAGCAATGGAATCACCATGGGACTACAATGGCAAACACTTGCAGCACAAAGGGCAGCACGCTCCTTTGCTTGAAATTATCTCCTTTTTGTTATGTTCAGCTCTTCACAGAAGGCCTTCATTATCTACATAATATATGTATAATGTATACATAATGTATAGCTTGGACATTTTCACCAATTATGCTGGGAGTCACATGTATTTTAGAATTCAGTTTTCAAAGTTTTGCTTTATTTTAGAAAGATAACATGGAGTAACTATCTATTCAGGAGCATTCCCTTGCCAGGGTAGCCTCTTAAAGCAAAACTCAGGACCATTTCTTCACAACAGTAGATCATTGCAACAACCTGAGCTAACGGCTGTAAACAGTCTCACTTCTTATCAGGTTGTGTCTAACTGACAAATGAGTTATGGAAAGGTTTTTAATCAGAGCTTTATGCACCTCAGAGTTGAGGATGAGATCCCAAAGTACTGTGAGGTCTTAAGGGGAAGTTAACAGTTTGGAATTCTGACTGATGGAACTGGGAACAGGACATGGGTCTTTCAATAGTAATCTATGATGACCACCATGTGAATATTCTTTAGAATGTGGCCATGTATGTCAGTGAGCTAAATAAAAATGGATTTAGTGAGCCTAGGCTAGCATCTAAAATGAAACAAAATAGATCAGAAGTAAAATGTCAGAGTGAAAGTAAAGTACATTTTTCAGTATGGCTATTTGGTCAAATTTATCTTTTATGAAAAATACTGTTGCAAGTCATCCTAGGCATGATTTAAATTTATGAATGCCTCTAAAGTAAAAACCAGCAAAATCCAAAGTCTATCAATACATTTTAATAAAAATTCGCTAAGTATGGTCCTATATATCACTTCCTCGGAGTTAATACAGAGAATAGATGCCCTTTAATGAAATAAAATTTAATTAAATTGTCAAAAATTATGACAATTGTAACCTTTGGAATAGAGGAGGAAAAATATTTTGCCTAATGAGTTATGGTACTGTAATATGATTCTTGAGAGCCATAACTAATCCAATTGTTGGCCACATCAAACAGAATTGGTCAATTGTGTTTCATTAATCCTTGACAGGAAACTTAAAACCTCCAATTATTTAATTTAAAACAAAACATTTATTCAAATATTAAAAGTGTCAATCATTACAACAATATAATTTAGAGTAGCATGTGAATAAACACAAAAGTCACATGAAAATTGCAGGCCTATGCACAGGAAGCGCTAGAAGATTCGATTTATGACCATATATACATGTCTCCATTATGCTTTTTACACTGCAAGGTGACCGTGGTGATTACCTGACTGTATTATTACAGCACTGTCTCTCCTCTTCTGCTGTAGCTTTTGGTATCTTCTTGAACCCAAGAATGCTCTGACACCAGCTTGAATCAAAACAAGCTTGTCAATGGCTTCCTTTCTCATTAGATTCAACTGTTCCACGTGATAATATTTAAGGAACACCTTAAAAGAATTAAAATAAAGTACAGTAAGATCTTGACTCACAGATGTACAGTGGCTGTGTGTCATGTTTGAAGAACAGACTGTATGTTGAACCTCTTCGGGTCTGGAAGACATATTTGCTTCTTGGGCTTAGCTGTCACCCAGATTTTGATGCTTAGACAAAACTTATCTTTGAGAAGGAAGCAAAAGGAAGACCTGCCAACTTGGGGGTTCTTTGGATCTAATAGTAAGAATCGGGGATTCTGAGCTCTTTCTAGAAAATATTTAGCATCATATATTCTGGGTTAAGCTCATCCTTATGCTTAAAACATTTTAAAGACAATGCTGTTTCCCAAATTTAAAGCTTGTACAAAACTATCTGTAAATAAATGGGCAGTTCATTCATGAAATGTTTATTCACCAAATGATTCTTGAAACTTATTGGATTTCTTTATCTGCTGGAGATATAGAGATGAATATGACAGGGGACTGTTAAGGTATTTTCAGTGGGGAAAATGAGGCAGATAGGGTCCCAGCAGAACCAACAACTTTCTCCATAGACTAACTACAGGGTGACTTCAGATCATTCTAAAGTTAACTTGAGCTCGGGCAAGGCCAGAGCCTCAAGACCAAAGGCATTTTTCATGTTTAAGATTTTTAGCTTTACTCTTTCCCTTTAGGGAATATCTTTCATTCTTTTAATGGATAAATTAATCAAAATATATCACCTTAGAGAGTTAATTGAGCCCATCAAGAAAATCATTTGAAGTAGTTGAAATCAAATGTTATAGCTGAGTTGTAAGACCTGGTAACTTTGACTGTAGAACTCTCTCAACATGCCATTGAAGATGGAAGCTGGGCACCACAGGTAAACAGTTAGGCATTATGGATTTTGATTGAATTCAATTTTAATTTCTACAGGATTCTAGATGTTAATATATTTAGTCCATTCTGTTGTTGACAATTCATTTAAAATTCAATGTGTTTAAAAAGGTCATCATATTTTTTTGCATAGCGTTAGAAATGTTCTTATATTAAACACTTTTATCCATGTTAATGAGTTGGAAAGGTGAAGTGGAAAAATATGAATGGCTTTAAAATGCTACTTAAATATCATGCAGAACTGGCAGGTCAAGGCCTTTTCACAAGTTAAAACTCCATTTGAAGTTACAGATGCATTTATGATCATAAATGATGAGGTTTTAGTCTGATAGCATTTGTCTTTGTGAGCATTTTAAAGAAAGTACTCTGAATAAAATATATATCCTCTGAGCACCTTGAATTCTCCTTTATCAAATATCAAAAAAAGTGTTACTGAGTATAAGACAGATGATCAGAAAAATCCCTCAAATTGTTGCCTGGATAATACATCCTCTGAACATGAAATTCTTTCCTCTCCTCCTATGCCCAAGACATAATACTCAAATTTCTTTGGAAATGAGGGCATTTGTTCTGGTCCCTTTGGGGTGGTTACAGTAGTTATTCATAGTTATTCTTGAATGATCACTTTGTGAGTATTTCTTTAGCTTTGTTCTTTTGGGGGTATATCTGGTATACCCCCGCCCCAAACACTTTAAGGATGCACTGGTAAATCTGGTGTACCTCCAAAACACATTTAGAATATACTGGGACTTGCCCACCTTAAGAGGCTCTAAGGACACATGCCAGGTCCAGTGTATCCTTTCTCTGAACAGCTACATGTTTGACTTCCATATTCAAAATGATTAAAAAAAATGTTCTCTAAGGGGTTAAATAAGATTCCCCGGCTCCTAAAGTTAATAATATGTGCACCAGTACTCAAACATACAGTGAGTCTCATGATGATGCTAAATATTTTGCTTCAGATAAATTTCAAGTTTATAATAGAAACCAAGTGAGAATTTAACAAAGAAGAGAAAAGCAGGAATCCCATTCTGATCTTATACTAGCTTTCTGACTATTTGAAAGTGATAAAGTAGATAGAATGATGACTGGTTGTGGCAGTACATGCCGTTAATCTCAGCACTGGAGGCAGAAGCAGGTGTGTCTCCATGAGTTCAAGGCTAGCCTGGACATAAAATGAGTTCCAGGCCAGTGAGCAATTCACAGTGAGACCCTGGTCCCTCCCACAGGAAAACATACGTTTGTTTCTAGTACCATTTTAAGTTAAGTATATTTATTGCCAGTGTCATTGGGGTTTTTCTTTTGGATAAATCTCTGAAATAAAATTTTCTCGTACTGTCTGCATCAGGTTTGTGTATGAGAATGTCTGTGGAGCATTTTCTTGATTGCTAACTAATATAAGAAGATATAGCTCACTGTGGGCAGAATCATCTTTAGGCAGGTGGGCCTGGGCTTTATAAAGATCAAAAATGCTTTATCTTCATGAAGGCTTTATGCATTTTAAGTTTCACCGCCAATTTTACATAGTCTCTAACAAAAATCATAATAGTTTCAATAATTAGTAAGATGTTAGAACTCTTTCAAATCCACTAATCATTTTTTCCATGAAAACATTACTTTTGTTTTTCCAAGAGCCCAATTATCAAGACCAGCCTTTTCCAAAATGGTAGCACAGGTGTCTGGGCTCACTGGGGGCTCTTCACTCGACTTGTAGCAGAGAACATAATACCTGAAATGATAAAAATTGGTAGTTGGTTTGTACAGTGGTCCAACATCAGCAGTGGCAGCCACCTGGCAGCTCTATCATGATGAAGGGATGAGACTACCAGACTTAATGCTTGGCTCTCTGATACATTCCCCAAACGACAGCAGAAGAGTAACAACTCCAGACAGACACAAACCTAGAGCAAGCTGTAGTTTTACTCCTGTGATGGCTCTCCATTTGGCTCTAGTCATAAACTTCATATCCAGAAAATCTTTGAATACTCATAAGCACATGAAAATAGAATGCTTATGGTATGTGTGTGCAGATTACTGGGAAATCAAATTGAAAGCCTCTGTGGTTGAATATTTAGTAAATGACAGAATTGGAGTTCAAAGCTGAGTTTGACTTTAAAGCATGAGTACTCATTGCGATGGCTAAGTGTGGTTGTCAACTTGACACCCTGAGAAGAGAAAAACCTCAGTTGAAGAACTGTCTACATCAAGTTCGCCTATGGGCATGTCTGTGGGGGCATTTTCTTGATTGACAACCAGTATAAGAAGGCCTAGCCCACAGTGAGGGGTGTCATCACTAGGAAGGTGAGGCTGGGCTGTAGAAGAAGGCTAGTTGAATGTAAACCCGGTAACAAGTCAATAAACAGTGTTCCTCTGTTGGTTCCTCCTTCAAGCTCATGCCTTGAGTTCCTGCCTTGGCCTTCCTCAACGATGGACTATAACCTGTAGGCTAAAATAAACCCTTTCTTCCCCAAGTTGGTTTTTGTCACATCAACATAATGTAAAGTAGAACCTACTATATGCAAGCCAAGTGACTCTGCATAGGATCAGTATAAAATGGAGCTAAATTCTCTGGCTCTTAGAAGAGGGTTCATTTGAAAAACAACACCAACAAACAAACAAACAAACAAAGAAACAAAAACCAGTAAGAACCCTGTGCTTCAGTTCAGAGCTTACATGTCTCCCAATGGCCCATGTGTTAAAGACCTGTTCTGTGGAACAGCCTTTGGAAGACTGTGGGACTCCTAAGAGGGGTCATCCAGTGGGAAGTCTTCAGGTTACTGGGAGTGTGCCCTTGAAGAGGTTATTGGACCCCATCTGAGTGTGATAGTACCACAGGCCCAAAGTCATGGAGCTAACCAATGCACTGGAAGCCCGGATCAGCCTTTCATCTTTATCAGTTGGCTGTTACAGGTTATTCACTATGATTGGTAGAGAGCTGATCAACACAATCGTGTCTTGTGCAAAGTCAGTTCATATTGGGCACCTCCTCTTGAGGTTGTTTTCTTGTCACGAAGCAGAAAAGCTTCTCTGTGATCACTGAGGAAAGGGACTGGAGAATTTTTCAAGGAGGTTAGTTAATGCCAAGGCCAAGGCATGGGAGGGCTAGAAAATCCCACTTAGAGCTTCAGGAGACCTTTTAAAACTGTTTTGCCTTCTCAACAGTCTATACCAATTTGGGTGACAGCTTTCAAAACAGTGACACAGAAAAGGTTTAGCCTTTTATTTCTAGAACTTCCTGTTATTTAGAACAGTGATTCATTTTTTTTTCACTATACCCATAGCTTTTTACCCTTTTCTTTCTCACTTATCATGTAGTAATTTGCTATTCTATAGCATCACAGGCTATGGAAACATAGGGGAGAACTAATTTTCACTTCTTAATTTCTAAATAAACAACTTACCTGCAAACAAAGCATCATCAACACAATGGATTTTCTTTGTGGTCTGGGCTATAAAACCTTGGCTATTTTGAAAGCATAAAACTCCTATTTTTAACCCACTGGGTGTCTCATTTCCTGTTCTGTTGCTTCACTAATACCTTCTCTTTCAATCCAACTTAATCCAAGGCTTCTTAGTTTTGTGGCACACCAATTGACTGGGACCTGGATATCTTCCTTTTCACAGCTTTTTCACTCACTAGTCTCATGAGGTAAGCAATTTTGCTTGAATACATAAGCCTGGTGAGCCACTGCAGCTCACTTCCTGTGTAAAGGCCCACTTCCTGTCTTCTCTAATAATTGTACCCTCTGCCAGATCCTGGTTTGTGGTCCTAATTTTGACATTTTAATTGAATGCTCTTTCTCTCTGTAGACTCTTACACTGTACACCAGTCTTCTGAACTTGTCATTTACTATTTTGCCTTGTTAACTTCCCATGTCTTTGACTCTGATAATCTTAACTGGGTTTTCATTTACTAACGCTAAGCCCATTTTAAAACGGTGTCTCTACAGCTCTTAGCATAGTAGCTTAGTATCCATATATTATATTAGTAATATTTAAGCAGACTAAGGTAGAAAAGACCCGTTACTAGATACTGATGTACTGACTTATTTAGTGATTTACTTGAAGTCCTTCTTGTATTGCTTATTGCCAAGCATGACTCCAGTTGCTACCTGGAACAGAACCACCTGGAGAAATAGCTGCAAACAAAAACAGAAACAAAAGCAAAACCAAAACCGGTTGCTACCCTTAGCAGCCTGACCACAAAAGCTTACACCTGCCGTCCTCCTTTACAAACGAAAGGCCCCAAGCTAACTGCCGTCTACACTTACTGCTTGCCCCACTTTGTGGTTCTGTAACATAAAATGTAAATGCAAACTGGATTTGGACTGATGTCTTTCAGGTCCTGGGTTCGGTCCACTAGTGAATACATCTCCTCTCTTCTATTTTCATTGGTGTTAGGGTGCTTGCTCCAGATGGATAATTGCAGCAATATTTATATTAATATTTAAGGAGGTCCACCATCTCCACGACACATTAAATACATGACAATAAAGTAAAACTTTAATTTTAACCTCAAAACTCCTTTACATCTAATATTTTGAGTTATGTACTTTCATAGACAGAAATGAGTATTTAGCTACTGGCCAAGTAAAAATTTCAATATTTTAAAATTTCTCATTTATATACAAATTTGGGACTGAGCTATAGAAAGTAAAGTCAGTTCAGTTCAATCTCTGAACTCCAAAATTTGAATCTATAAGGCTGGTCTTAAACTTCTATGAAAACCCTCTAATATAAAATCCAGAATATAAGTGTAATTTATATATATATGTATCATGAAAAAGTGGTAGGGTGTTCTTGATTTCAGCACATTCCAAAAAATGCCTTTATTTTCTTCTTTGGGTTTTTAAAGAAAAAAAAAAGCTATAATGAATTGCTGAAAAACAAGAAAATCAGAAGAAAGAATTCTTATTACATTGAATGTGGATCTTAGACACTGTCATGGGTTGTGTGGTAAATGTCACTTTCCCCTCCCCCAAAATGGCCCAGGTGTTGAAGCTTGATCTGTGGACAGTGGTGCTCCTGAGAGGTAACTACATCACAACGATGCATAACTCATCAGTGGGATAGCTGTTAGGAGTTGGGATCTCATTGGAGGAAGCAGCTATCTGAGGATGCAGAAGCACAGACCTGCCCCTGCAGGGCATGCCTTTCCCGTTCCTGTCCTCTTCTTTATGTACCTGTAGAGTGTGCTGCTGTGGGATGGTCTGTATGTCAAATGTGTTGCTGATTGGTCAATGACTAAATCGCTGATTGGCAGTGGCCAGGCAGGAAGTATAGGCGGGACTAACAGAGAGGAGAATTGAGAGAACAGGAAGCTGTGTGGGAGACACTGCCAGCCGCCATGATGACAAGCCGCATGTGAAGATGCCGGTAAGCCATGAGCCATGTGGCAAGGTATAGATTAATGGAAATGGACTAATTTAAGCTGTAAGAACAGTTAGCAAGAAGCCTGCCACGGCCATACAGTTTGTAACCAATATAAGTCTCTGTGTTTACTTGGTCGGGTCTGACGGCTGTGGGACTGGCAGGTGAGAGAGATTTGTCCTGACTGTGGGCCAGGCAGGAAAACTCTAGCTATAGTGTGCCTTTCCTGTCCCTGTCCTCTTCTTTATGTACCTGCAGGGCATGCCTTTCCTGTCCCTGTCCTCTTCCTTTGAGTCTCTGCTACTTCCTGACTGTCACAGGGACGGCTCCTTTCTTCCACTGCACTTCCTGTCACAGGGACGGCCCCTTTCTTCCACTGTACTTCCTGACTGTCACAGGACGGCCCCTTTCTTCCACTGTACTTCCTGTCACAGGGACGGCCCCTTTCTTCCACTGTACTTCCTGTCACAGGGACGGCCCCTTTCTTCCACTGTACTTCCTGTCACAGGGACGGCCCCTTTCTTCCACTGTACTTCCTGTAACAGGACAGCCCTTTTCTTCCACTGTACTTCCTGTCACAGGGACGGCCCCTTTCTTCCACTGTACTTCCTGTCACAGGACGGCCCCTTTCTTCCACTGTACTTCCTGTAACAGGACAGCCCCTTTCTTCCACTGTACTTCCTGTCACAGGGACGGCCCCTTTCTTCCACTATGGCTTCCTACCAGGAACTGTCTACCGTGCATGGGTCTAAAAGCAACAGAGCCAGCTGACCGCTGAGTGAAACCCCTGAGGCTGTGAGCCAAACAAGTCTCTCCTTTATCAAATTGCTTCTCTCTAGTATTTGCCACAGTGACAGACTACCAGCTAACCCAGCTACATGAGCCAGGCAAAAGAAAGCATGATAGAACTTTTTTTGAGGGGCGGGGGTGGAGAAATGTAACCAGAATTTGTTGAACAACCAAAAACAAAGCTTTGTTTTGTTCTTAACATTCACTTTGCATACTTGGAAAAAAAGAGATTATTTTATAGATGGAGAATTCTTTAAACATGAAAATTTCCTGAAAACTGCAATATGTCTAAAACTTGAAATTTCTTTAAATATAATAATGAATAGAAATACAGGATTGACAACTCTCAGAAACATGGGCATTTAAAATATTAAATATTTAAAATATTTAAAATATTGAACCTTAGCATTACCACTAATGTATTACTTAAAATACATTTACTGTATAAAAATTAATTTTACAATGATTTTAAATGTTAAGAACTCTTTGTACCTAGTGGATTCTTTCTTAAATTAGAAAAGATCAAATTGACATAAATTTAATTGACTTTCTATATCTGTTAATTCTCCATAGACATGACATTATTCAATTTGATCATTATAACTGTTCTATCAGAGGGTCATAGCAGACTTAGGAAGTGAAGAAAGTAAGATACCACAGAGGCCAGGGTTTCTCAACCTGGAACTGCTGGCATTTGGGCTTGGAGAGCTTTGTTGTGGGAGCTGCCCTCTGTGCTGTAGATGAGATGATTAGTAGCATCCTGGGGCTCTACCCAGTAGGTGAGAGTACCTCACTCTAAGGCATGACATCTCCAAATGTCTCCAGACATTGCTAAGCATCTTTTGAAGGGCTCCATCTCTCCTACTTGAGAATTGTTGGTGTACTTCCATGGCCACATAGCAAGTGTAGTATTGGGCTGAGAACACAGATCTCCTCACTCTTCAGTACGGAACCTTAGACCCTTGACCTTCCAGCCTTTCACATGCATCTTCTTCCCTCACAGAGATTTCCCAGAGCACAGCAGTTTCCCAGACTCAACTAGTAATAGCTGTAGTCTCTTTTCACTACATGAATAAAATGCTTCTGCCCTAGACCTCCTAGACAATTCTCCACTGTTTTATATTCTACAATTCTTCTGAAAAAATTTAAAAATATAAACCACACAAAGAAAATGCAAGAAATCCACAAACCTTCTTATAAAGTTAGCAAAGAGTATCCGATGAGAGTAACCAAGCCTTCGAATTCTGGCTGTTTCCAAAATCCCTGTGCAGCGGAGCTGTAGCAGAACCTTCTCTTTGTCATATTTTCTTGCCTGTCTCTCATTATTTGGCTTGATGCAACGCACAAAATGAGGTTGGCCCACCACCATTTTAGATAACAAATCCATCAAGGAATACTATAATATACAACATGAATCAATTTCATGGTATGACACTAAAAAAAAGCATGAATTTGTAGGTCTTCATTCTTATTACAAGGTTACAGTTTTAAGAATTAATGTTACAAATTGCTAATCACAGTGAGTGGAAAGAGATCTGATATAAGGAAAAGGAATTCATCTAAAAATTACAGATTTTGTGACAGAAATGTAGAGGCAATAACTAGGAGGTTGCCTATGAAAAATTTGCCCAGAAACTCTTAGGGCAGCATTAGATAAATTTATTTTTTACATACTTTTTAAAGTAATTATATCCTCTCAAGCAAACATACAAAATTACAATATTGAGACATACAATTTGGTTAATTTACTTTGTATGCTAATTTCCTTGTCCTACTCTGTCTTTGTAGAAAGTATAAAAAACAAACACTTTAATCTCTGTTGGAATCATCTACTTTAAAATTAGGGCAGAGAAGTTAGTTTCAAAAATGAAAATAATCAAATAATTATCCACTTAACTATTTTGCTGTGCTTTATTTATTGATTTGGAGAGAATATTTTTATTAATATGGGCATTAAAACTGTCTTCTGTAGCAATGCTTTGTTAAAATAATAGCCAATTATCAGACAATTAAGAATAACCTATTAGGGCTGGAGAGATGGCTCAGCGGTTAAGAGCACTGATTGCTCTTCCAGGGGTCCTGAGTTCAATTCCCAGCAACCACATGGTGGCTCACAACCATCTGTAATGAGATCTGATGCCCTCTTCCGGCCTGCAGGCAAAACACAGAACACTGTATACATAATAAAAAAATAAATCATTAAAAAAAAAAGAATAACCTATTAGGATGAATAGAGTTCATTAAAAGTGGAACCTCAGCAGAGCAGTTATCTCCAAGACCAAGATCAGAATTTCCTGGCAAGGCAGTGAGTAGACACAACATGGAGGACTGGACTTTTTAGTGTTAGAAGTACCAACACCTAGAGTTTCAGGGCCAGTGCAACCCAAATATTGAAGTTAGCCAACTGCTGTATCTGCTGCATTTGGACTCTTTCCTCTTGGGGACCAGCTCAGATGCCATCTTCCCAAACAGCTGCAACTGCCACTCTGGAGCCCTTTCATTACATTGTCTGTGAATCATCATTCCTTTAGTCATGCCAACAGCTGCCAGGCACTGGGACCCAGAGGTGACAGGGCCTGCTAGCTTTCTGAGCAGTTCAGGCCTGGGTTTTCTTAGGACTAAGGCACAGTCACCCTGATTTCATTCTTGTCAGCAGAATTAAAAAATAGCTTGAGAACATACTACACACTGCCTGGAATCAATCCTCTGTCAGTTCTTGCTTCAGCCTGAAGATTAAAATGATTTCATGACCTGGTCAGGTTTAACATGCACAGTATTTGATGCTAACAACAGTGGTATAATAATGGTGTGGACAACTCACAAAAGTAAACTAATCTGGCTGTAACTACGTTTAGTGGTTCACATGTGCTGCCTTGATGATCTAGAGGGACTTAGCAGCAGTGGACGCAGGCCTTAAACATGTAAGTGTACCAGGCAATACTCAAGTAGGATTTGATACAGTGTCTACTATGAACTTAGGGCTTTGAGAATATGTAACACAAGTATTCATACAGTTTAAAAAGTGGTTCGTGATTCCGTTAGAGAAATGCATAAATTCATTGGACAACCAATGGTAAATTCAATCTGATTGCATCTACGTCTTCCATATTAAGTGACATTATTAGTAATTGCCAAGTTTTAGGTGGTCTTTTCTCCATTGTCCTGGCTGGCTGATTCAGAAGAGGTAAGTGAAAACTGGAACTATACTGACACTGGTTATCTCAGGTTCTTCAACACACAGGGAGAAAAGTGCTTCCTTTCTTTTCTTTCTCCCATATTGCCCAAAGAAATGTCACCTTGTTCCTATGCCCTGGATGCTACTGGGTCTCTGGAGAGTCTCCTCCTCATACCAGTCCTATAATAGGTCCTCTCCTCCTGCTGAAGGTATCAGCTTGTGTATGGGCTAGGAAATATGGGCTGGAGATCCATGCTTAACTTTGCCTAGCTTTGTTCCGTCCTAAAACCATTGTGGGACATTGGATTAAAATTTCCTTCCTTCCTTCCTTCCTTCCTTCCTTCCTTCCTTCCTTCCTTCCTTCCTTCCTTCCTTCCTTCCTCCCTCCCTCCCTCCCTCCCTCCCTCCCTCCCTCCCCCTCTCTCTTCCTCCCTCCTTCCTTTCTTGTTTTTATATGTAACTAAATTAGGATGAACAGTGTCCTTAAATACAACATATCATAATTTAACAACTTACTCTAAAATATGATGCGACCGTTTGCGTTTTCATGTTGGTGGTTTCACAGGCATGGCGTGTGATGTCTCTAGTTTCACCCTAAGGAGACCAAAGAAGACAGTAAGGCCTTGCCACCTTCTGAACATTGTCATCTACAAGGTGTACATGGTGTTTTCCGTAAGTTTACCTTAGTCTGGGTGTTCAAATGCACAAACCCACAAAATGTTATTGACATTCACATGTCAAGGACTATTGTGCTGGTTGCACTGTCTGTGTTGACTGGTCTTGTGCAGAACATGAATGTTTCTGACCAGGGCTACACATACGTTTTTATTGAGAAACAGTATAAAATGTAAAGATTAAAAGGAGTTGGGAATATACCAGAAAGGCATGATGTTTGAGCTGCTGTCAGCAAAGCAGCCATAAGATAAATAGTCTTACCTTGGTCAGGTTTGTGGATTTTTCTGAATTCCTCATCTGATAGTTTATTAGATTTTTAGTTTTAGAAAGTGGCAGGTTACCTATGGGAACATAGGTAAAATTAATTTATCTTTTCAAACCCTGAGTGGTCGGAAAATTTTCCCATTTATTTAAAGTATTCTGAGCATGCTAAGACTCAGAAGCTTGGCTACCTATTTGTTGAAACAAGGATAAAGAACACTATATGAGAAATTATGATAAATCTTTTTTTTTCTCTGTGTATCCCTGGCTGTCCTGGAACTCATTCTGTAGACCAGGCTGGTCTCGAACTCAGAGATGTGCCTGCCTCTGCCTCTGCCTCTCTAGTGTTGGGATTGTGCCCCACCTTTGAAAGGCTATAATAAATCTTCTGTTTTTATTTTGGTCTCCTCCTCCTTTCCCTCTTCCTCTTCTTCCTCCCCCTCGTCTTCCTCTTCCTCTTGCTCTTCTTCATCTTCTTCTTCATTGTCTTTGAGAAGATCTTGCTATACAGTCCAGGATGACCTCACACTCATGGCAATACTCCTGCCTCAGTCTCCTGAATTCCAAGAGTACAGCCAGGTACCACCACACTCGGCTACCACAAATCCCAAATTCAGAAAAAGAAGAAAAAACCAACCTCCTATATGACAAAACAGGAAATGTGAGTGAGATGTTTCCTCTCGATTTTAGAAGATGTGGGCAGATGATGATGATGATGAAGGAGCAGCTCACTTTGCATCTCTGTGTTAAGTGGTCTCTGAGATTTTCTTTAACTCAAGGTGGGCTTTGCAGTGAGCCCTAAAGTCTCATGAAGTGCTTTTAGTAAATCAAGCGTGAGTGACGCCAAGAGTTATCAATCTTAACATTCAGATGTGTGCTTTGTATGTTCAAGGCAGTGAAACTGTTAAGGTTGAAAATCCAGAAAGACTTGGCCTTGAATCACAGCTATTATTCTTAGTTGGGATGCTGTTGGGTCATATTCTGTAGTTTGAATACTTAAATAAGGCTCACTTTAAAGCATTTTAATAAAATGGCATGCAAAGAGTTCAGAACACACACACACACACACACACACACACACACACACACACACACACACACACACACACACACATATATATGGATATCAAAGCAATTCAAGAGAGGAAGAATGATGTTTTTAGCAAATTGTGTTTGAATAACCAGAGAAAGGTTATGGGGAGGGAAGGAGAGATCACAGGGATTATGAAGGACATCATATGTGTGATTAATATGCTCACTATTAGTTATGTAGAAACATATATGGGATCTTTATATATGTAAAAACCAAATTTTATTGGCTAAATATTTCAATTACAGATCAATAAAACTATCAAAAAGTTTGCAGAATTGGGGGCTGAAGAGATGGCACAGTGGTTAAGAGCACTGGCTGCTCTTCCAGCGATCCTGAGTTCAATTCCCTGCAACCATATGGTGGCTCACAACCATGTATAGGGGGATCTGATGCTCTCTTCCGGCATAAAGTTGTACATGCAGATAGAGAACTTCTATATAAACTAAATAAATAAATCTTTTTTTTTTTGAGACAGAGTTTCTTTGTGTAGCTTTGGAGCCTGTCCTGGAACTTGCTCTGTAGACCAGGCTGGCCTCGAACTCACAGAGATCTGCCTGCCTCTGTCTCTCAAGTGCTGGGATTAAAGGCGTGTGCCACTACCACCCACTAAATAAATAAATCTTAAAATAAAGTTTGTAGAAGAATTTAAAACTACAATATAAAGAACCCAAATAACAAGTTTTCCCCCAATAAATGAAAGTCAGGACGCGTAAGGAGGAGTGGAATGAGTGAGATACTGTGCACGTGATCAGCAGAGAACCCGTGAACACGAGGGACTGTCTAACTACCGCCCACAGCTGGAAACTGAGGGTTTTCTTTTGGGGAGAGTGTTCTCTTTTTCAGTAGCAACTGGGACATTTCCATATTTTCCGGTGAGAGTCTCAAATACTTTTCCTTGTAAGAGCCTAGCTTCTTTATATTAACTTTTATACCTCCCTCAGATTAGGAATAAGTGAATATCTAGTGAATTGAAAATAAACATGAAAAAATAAAAGACTACAGTCACAAATAAATCCCACAGAGAAACTACTTGATGAGGCGTAGAGGAACCTTTTTAAGTCAACTGCCTTACCTGTTTTAGTCAGTGGGTGGTTGACAAGTTGCCGAATTACACTGTTTTCTGATGACCTCAAAAGTAACACAATGTCAGTTGGGAGCGTGTCTCGGTTTTTCGCCAAGAACCCATTAGCACTGTAGAGGACCTGTCGATACAAGCGATACAGTGACTATTATAACCCAGGCCAACACTGCCATCCTCAACGCTTCATGAGAGCTGTCCATACTGAGCAACAGACATCCAAGATTATGCATGCAATTCCTTACCACTTGGTCAGAAAAGCTGTGAATTTCCTTTACTTGGAGGGATGCGAAGCACAGAAGAACCATCCCCATTTCTCTAAGAACTGGTCCAGCTCTCTTGACGTCAACGTGATAGGTCTTACCTAACTTAGAGACTGCATGCTGTAGGGGCATGTGTTTCTGGTGCTTCTAACTAATTTTTAAGACTTTAAAAAGATGAACATATCCCAAAGATTTCTAACGGATAATCAAATGTGTTGTTGTGGATTGAATCATGTCCCTCCAAAATTCATGTTAAAGATGTTCTGTAGTCACACAGAGAAAAAAGCCACATGAAGACTGGGTGAGGTGACATCCATCTGCAAGCCAGAAGAGGCTCCATTAGACCACAACCCTGCTCCGGGCACCTTGGTCTCAACTTTTCAGCTTCTAGAACAATGATAGTACGCTTCTTCTGTTAGAGCATTCAGCCTGAGGTACTCTCTTGTAATGAGCCAAATAACATACTTATTAAAAACAACTGGATAAAATGGCTACAGGCAATTCTTAATTAGTGATCAAAGCAGCCTTTATTTGGTAAGTCAAATGCTAAGAATCACAAAAAGTTATAATGAAAATGACTTACAGTATGTATATATATATATATATATATATATATATATATATATATATATATATATAAATATAAATCTGTAAAAATTATGTTATATATAATTAAAATTATGCTATAATAGATAATTAAAATTATACAATAAAATACATATCTAAAATATTTATGTGTATGTGTGCTTTGCCTGCCTGCATGTCCATGCACCATCTATGTGCAGTACCCACCAAGGCCAGAAGAGGGCATCAGATCCTCTGGAATAGGAGTTACAGATGTTAGCTGCCATGTGGGTGCTGGGAACTGAACCCTCTGGTCCTATGGAAGAGCAGCCAGTCTTCTTAACCACTGAGCCATCTCTCCAGCAACTCAACTTAGAAGATGTGCTATTAATGACAAAGGTCATTGGGACATTCTCTGGCCTCTAGATGTGACCAAATGGACAAATATATGGAACTTCTCAATTAGTTTATTTTTTTTCAATGATTTTCTCATTTTAGACATTCTTTCTTGATTTTAATCTTCTTTGTAGCTCAACAATTATGGCACAGTTCTGAGGGGATGGCCCATTATTCTCCACGGAAAGGGAGAGTGTCACTTGGGTTTAAGACAACGGATCTGAGGTTTGACAGGTGTGTGCAGTTGTGTTTCAACCAGTGTATGAATGCTTCTTTAAATTTAAGACCATTCGTTAGTTAGCCCCACACATCTGGGGCACTCTGTCAGCTCACTGTTTCTCTTAGCACTCTCTACTTCATTTGGAGCAGGGAGGGGCATTGGCTGGAAGGGGTGAGAAGAGGGAGGGGAAGAGAAGAGGGGAGATGAAGGGAAAGGGGAGGAAGGAGGAGAGAGAGAGATGAAAGGAGAGAAGAGAGACTGAGAGAAAGTGAGTGAGAGAGAGAGAGAGAGAGAGAGAGAGAGAGAGAGAGAGAGAGAGAGAGAGAAAGAAAGAAAGAAAGAAAGAAAGAAAGAAAGAAAGAAAGAAAGAGGAAGGGAGTTCTTTCTTGGACAAAATGTAAGGACAGCTCTGGAAAACGCCCTAAGGTACTCTTTAGAAAAGCAAAGTACAGGTGATCACTGCCAGCTGGTCATTGCAGTCAGACTGGATGATCAGGAAGACAGGCTGACAGAAGAGTCAGGACCAGACAGAGGCAGGACAAGGCCATTGTGACTATCCTGACAGAGGCAGGACAGGGCCATTGTGACTATCTGACAGAGGCAGGACAGGGCCATTGTGACTATCATCTCCCAACAGCCTGGGGCAGTTCTACCTAGACTTCATCGACAGTCGGCTGAGGAGTCGGTCCCAGTTCCTGTGAGTTCTTACTTTGCCCGCATAGTGGTGAATGCCAAAACTAAGCTCCATTCTCTTGGGTCTCCAGAAGTACTGTGATTTCAGGTTATCTTCAAACTTTTCTGCAGAAGAAAATCGAACTCCAATATTAAACATACAGGAGATCCTTAAGTAAAATTGACGGTCAGAAGTTATTTTTCCCCATACAATGCATGCTGAGTAGAGATATTTTAATATAATGAAGTCATGGAGATTTGGAATATTAATGGCCAAAAAAATCACAATCATTTACCACTGCATCTTACTTTAGAGCAGGTCTCAGATGTCAGCATGGATCAGAGTCACCCAGCACACCTGTGGAGGTGCAGGCTTTTGGGGCTCACCCTGTGAGTGCAGCAGCACGTGGTAGGTCTGGGGAGGAAGCCAAGAATTCACTAGCTCCTGGTACTGCTCACATTCCTGGTGTGACGGCCGTACTGTGATGCCAGGCTCCAACCCTACAACCCTGGTGGTGTGGCTTGCCTATCGATTTGATTATACAAGAAGCGCAATGGGCTCATAAAGGCAGTCAACTGTCTATGAGCATTTCAACATTCCAAGCCCCTGCTGTGAAATTATTTCCCCAATGATGCTGAGGTTTTTTCCCTTTTCTGTCTGGTGTCCAGGGGACAAAACAACCACCATGTCAGGAGAAAGCAACACCATGTTTACCAAAAGTAAATGAGGAAGAAAAAAATGAATCTATGCTTTCTTTAAGTGTTTATATGTATGTTATGAATACCTCCATGAGCAGGGAATAATGACTTTTTCAGTTACTTAACAACTCAAAGGTCTTCTTCTTTGTTTTTCCCTTTTCTATTTCAAATTGGACCGTCTCATTTTAACCACTTTCTTTCTGAGACAGGGTCTCATGTATCCTTTGCTATGTAGCCAAGGATAACCTTGAACTTCTGATCCTTTAATCTGTACCTCCTGACTGCTGGGATTAGAAGCACATACCACCAAAACCAGTTTATAAAACATTAGCCATCAAGGCCGGGCGGTGGTGGCGCACGCCTTTAATCCCAGCACTCGGGAGGCAGAGCCAGGCGGATCTCTGTGAGTTCGAGGCCAGCCTGGTCTACGAAGTGAGTTCCAGGAAAGGCGCAAAACTACAGAGAAACCCTGTCTCGAAAAACCAAAAAAAAAAAAAAAAAAAAAAAAAAAACATTAGCCATCAAACCCAGGGCTTTGTGCATGCCAGCTGGGATGTTTAATTTTGATCACCAACTTGATTGCCTCTGGGAGCAACTAAGAGACAGGCATGTGGGCAGGTCTGTGGGCGTATTTCCTGGAAGGATAAATTTAGGGGAGAAGACCCTCCTCCACAGTGGACAGAACCTTCTGGCTGTGGCCCAGATATAAAAAAAAGTCTGAGGGAAAAGCCGGCTGGGCTTGCCTTCCCTCACTTCTTGCTCTTGATTCTATCTCTCCGCTTGCTGCTGCTCCTGTCCTCCTACGTGACATCACAACAGCTTCTTTGGCCTCCCAGCGTGGACTGGAGGCCAGTGGCTCCCTGGAGAGCTTCTGGCAGTATTACTGCTAGATTAGGGCTGCTGAGGCATCCCACCTAGTGCACTGAGCAGCTAGCTGCCAGGTCCTCAGCCTCTCCAGCACGCAGACAGCCACTGCTGGACTGCTCAGACTGCACCACACAAGCCAATCCAACACACCCCCTTTTGTTCCGTATGTTCACCCTATGGGTTCTATTCCTCTAGAGAATGCTCCTGTACACCAAGCAAGCACAGCTTTTACCAGCTGAGCTACGTTCCCAGCCTGGGGCAATTTTGCTTTGACAGTGGTAAAGTCTGAATTTATCACTAACATCCTAAATCTGCATGAGTTAGATATGTGGACATAAATTATCCTTTGTTTGTTGTAGGGGCTGGGGAGACGGCCTGGTGGGTAAAGTACTAAGGACCTGAGGTCTGCTTCCTAGAGTCTTCATAAAAGCTCATAGGGTCCATTCCTGGGAGCATAGGTGGGGGCGGATGAGTCTTGCCCGTCGGCCAGGAGAGCTGAAACAGTGAGCTTCGGGTTCAAGGGGAGACCCTGTCTCAAAAACCAAGACAGAGAGAGGTAGAGGAACACATCTGAGGTTGACCTCTGGCTCCAACATGTTTGTACAGGCAGGCACCCCCCGACACACACCTCTACACACAAATGAATTTATATATATATTTCACATTACTGATTTTTTTCTTTCTGCTCACTATTTCCTTTCACATTCTAGAGCTGTCTTTCTGTTCTGCCACCAATTTCTTACTTGGGGTTGGATAATTTTTATGGTGATTTATAATCCAAGATTCAACATTTGAGCTTGTACCACGAAGGAAGCAGAAATCCAGTCTCCAATCCTGTTTAATTCATCACTATGAATTTTACCCTACTATAAACACTCACTGGTCTAGGCATTAGGTCCAGTTTTCACTTCTTGAAAATCAGATACTGCAGGCTTTGTGACAGCTGTTGTTTTTTCCAAATCATTTAAAACAATTAAAAATCATTGCAACTTTCCTGGTGCCTTCATAAATCCGTACAGTCATGCCGGGTTTAAAACTCACCTATGAGAGTCTGGTCAGTGGCCTTGGGAAATCTACTTTCCTCATCAAGCAGGGATAATAAGCCCATTGGCTTCTGCAGAAACATGTCTAAGAGGGGCCGGTTGTCTTCATATTCAATAACTCTAGCATCCACATCTTCATTTAGGTATTCATTCTGTAATAGGTTATGAGTCAAACAGAAAAAAAACCACTTAAAATTGTGAATAATGTATAGGTGGATAGTAATTACCCAGATTTCCACTTTACATATATTATAATAAATTGCTATCTGCGACATTGCCTTAAACACAAAGTGGATCATTTTGTTTCTCTCTTTGCAGAACTGCTAGCTTATTAAAAATCAGCACTGATTATAATCAGGAGACTAGTAAAAGGATTGCCAGTCTCTCAGAATTACAGAGGACTGTGTTGTTAATGGAAAGCGGTATGGCTGTGTCCCAGAATTTGCACAACGTGACTGAAGCAGATCTTAGGGTGACGCTTTCCCCATTGTGTCTCTCAAGAACACTCACATGATGTTCAGCAGGGGTTTCAGATACTGACATTGCTAGTGTGGTGGACAGCAGTAGGCAACGGGATTAGTCTATAGGTTCAGAATCAAGGACACCTAGGCCCATTCCTAGGCTCAGCGACACAATCCACTGGAATTTTCTGACTCTCTAAGAGCTTCCCTTCTCATCTCTTAAACCAACTCACAAGATAAAAACACATCGTGCACTGATAATAGCTCGTTTGTGAGTGTATCATAAGATGTGTGAAATAACCACACATGGCCGTGAGCCACTAAAAATGACTGCAGAAGCAAAGTGTGGTGGTGTGAATATTCGCAGTCTAACATACATGTTTAAAATAAGACAAAGCCTAATCCCTAAGGAGGCAAACACCCCAAAAACATTGTAGCCAGCATTAAACATGAAAACCATTTCTTGAAGTTTCACAGCTCTTATTTTTGAAGGTAACCTTGGGAGAAGTCTGTAAACCTAGAATTATTTTACTGTTAGACACATTACGCTGACAGTATATAATAGCTTAAATCACAGCTGCAAAGTTCAGAAGAATTTCATATGTTTTATATAGAAAGTCCATGAGGTTAAGGTGTCAACTGATGTAATTGTCACTTCTATTTGCTGGTGTCAAAATCCATTGCATGCTTTTGTGGGAGGTCACACGGTGCAGAGAAGAGTGAGCTGGAAGACAATGGCTTCCTTCAAGTACCTTCGTTATTATGGACTCCAGATAAACCATAGAGAAAAAACTGTTATTGTCACAATCAGGGCTTATAAAGCGCTTACAATAAAACAAAGGACACCCCAAACCATACAATGTGGTGATATATTGTATACCCCAATAAAGCTTGCCTGGGGATCAGAGGACAAAGCCAGCCACTATATTAAACATAGAGGTCAGGCAGTGGTAGGACATGCCTTTAATCCTATCACTCGGGAGTCAGAGATCCATTTGGATCTCTGTGAGTTCAAGGCCACACTGGGAACAGAGCTAGGCATGGTGGCACACACCTTTAATCCCAACACTAGGAAGGCAGGGCACAGAAAGGTATATGAGGTGTGAGTAAACAGGAAGTCTCTCTCTTGAGGTTGAGGATTTTGTAGAGGTAAGGACGTGGCTGGATTGTTCTGCTTCTCTGATCTTTCAGCTTTCACCTCAATATCTGGCTCTAAGTTTTTTGTTTTTTTTTTTTTTTTTATTAAAAAGACCTTTTAAAATTCGTGTTACAATACACTGCATCTCACAGGAAAAATTATGGCAAAATGCTTATTTATCTTTAAGCATATGTGGACACATAAGGCTCATCATTCTTATGTTTTGGTTCACTTAAAGAAGATGGTGAGAAGAGCTGTAAACTGCACTAAGCTGAAGTGTTGAGAATATGCACCCCTGCTCTGCTCTCACTGTCCGAATTCCCTTTAGAAAGCTGGGAGGTGCTCGCTAAGCCTCAGGGGCCATCATGGAAGAGGGGAGGGAAGATTGTAAGAGCCAGAGGTCAGGGAGGAGGGGAGGGAAACAGCGCCTTCTGGACATGACAGGACCACTACACCCAAGAACTCAGAGCAGCTGTGTTTGCCTGCACAAGACCCGCACAAGATCAGGACAGTTAACATTTTAGCACGGGACAGGGAGGAACTCATGAGCACTCACCCCTAACTGAAGAGCTATGGACAGTTGGTGGCTTCTGACAGAGGACAAGTCAGTTTTCTTTAAGAGTGTGACTCTTGGTAAATCAACCAAGTTCCATACTCTCACATCTAGAAGTATATGGGCAGCACAAATTGGAACTCATTGGTTGAACACACACACACACACACACACACACACACGCACACGCACACGCACACGCACACGCACACGCACACGTGCATGTAGTCACACATGGGACACAAAGCTGGGAGGAGGTAGGGAGGTAGGGGTGGGCCTAGGAGGACTTAAGTGGAAGCTTGGGGGTGGGGTGGGATAAGAACAAAATATATAGTATGGTATTCTCAAGGAAATAATAAAAATGGTAAAAATGAAAATATGAAAATGAAAAAATGGATTGAAAGTCATTTAACTACATATTAACACAGCAAGGGAAATCAGAAGGTTTGAAGGTTCCTCAAGTTGTATTTTTCATTGCATTTGGAGTGTGTGTGGTCAAGAAGGCCCATATGAGCTGCATCTTGGAGGTCATAGCCCTAAGGAGCTTACATACTTAATGCTAAAAACATCATCTCCTCCCCCAGGGAGATCTAGGATAATGCCACTGAGCCCTCAGATTCGCACAGTAGCATGGGAGGATTGTGCCACATTCTGGTAGAGGCACAGACTTCCATATGGCTTCTAAGGCTGGCACAAATGTAAGCACAACTTCCTCAGCACAGGTTATTAACATGGTAAAGGCCACTAGTTTTCATTTTGATCTCACCTCATCTGACAGACCATCCCCCGATCTCCCAGACTAATTTAGCAAATTTCTTTCCCCAACTGGTCACTCTTTGTACACCTTATCATACTTTGAATTAATTTACAGTATTTCTAGTATTTGTATTTATTATTTTCCATGTCTCTCATTATAATGAAATTTCCACGAAAACAGAAGTTTTCTATCATTTACTTCTGTATCTAGAAAGAATCTTACATATTTAACATTACATGTATGTGCACTCCCACACTAGCTCCATTCACATGTTCAGGCCCTAGCATTCAATGTGATTGCATTTAGAGACAGGACTTTAAGGAGGCACTTTGGAAATGAGGTCCCTAAGGGTGGGGCCCTAATCCAGTGTGACTGCTGTACTCTTAAGTGAAGTAAGAGACATCTTGATTCCCCTGCACAGAAGAGGCCCCTGTGAGGACATGACATGATAGATGTTGTGACTCTGGAGAGAGGCCTGGAGGGAAACCACCCCCCACTAATGCCTTCATCATGGACCTTCAGCCTCTTGAACAATGAGAGAATTAACTTCTGTTGTTTAAACAAACTTTATCTTAAAGTCCATAGCACTTTAACACAGCAGCCCCAGCAAACTAGCACTCCAAGCTTTCTGGATTCTTTCCACCTCTAAGAGTTGTTTTGAAAAATCAGTTTTCCACAAGTGACAGCTCATGCTGTGGAATAAAAGAGCACTTATACATTGCTAGTGAGAGTGCAAGCTTATACATCACTGTGGATATCAGTGTGGCAGTTCCTCAGGAAGATGGGAATCGATCTACTTCAAAATCCAGCTCTACAACTCTTGGGCATATACCCAAAGGATGCTTCATCCTACCACAGAGACACTTGCTCAACCATGGTCATTGCTGCTCTATTCATAATAGCCAGAAATTGGAAACAATCTAGATGTTCCTGAACAAAAGAATGGATAAAGAGACTGTGGTACATTCACATGATGGAGTATTATTATTCAGTCTTTAAAAAATGACATCATGAAATTTGCAGGCAAATGGATGGAACTAGGAAAAAATCATTGTGAATGAGGTATCCTAGACCCGGAAAGACAAATATGGTGTGTATTTGTGTATATTTGTATTTTAGCTGTTAAGTCAATGAATGATAACCCAGCTACAATCCATAGAACCACAGATGGTATAGAGTAATGGACTAGAGGGAGCACATAGATCTCATTAGGAAAAGGAAATAGAATAGATACTTGTAGATTTATGGGGGGGTGGAATAGAGGGAATCAAGTGGAGATGGGAAGGGGAGGAGGTAGTGGGAAAGAATGTGGAGAGAGAGCTAAAAATAAAGGGTTATTGGAGGAGTATTATAGAACCTAATACAGTAAAAATCTCCTAAAATATATACAGATGTGAAGGTAATCTAAATGAAATAACCAAATAATGGGGAAGACAGAGACCCAACAATGTCCTATTACTGAAGACAACATCTACATAACTCATTGAACATGAATGTGTTGAACTGTTGCCTACACAGAGCCTTCACCCCATGTTCTAGGGTTTTTGTACAGGAAGGTACTCTGCATACTATCAAAAGAGAAATGTAAACACCAAGCCGTCCACAAACCTTTTGATCTACAGTGGTGTACTCCCTGCAAGATATGCTAGGGTAATGGTGGCACAAAGCTTGTGGGAGTAGCCAAACAATATCTGATCTGATTTAAGCCCCACTTCACAAGATGGAACCCATGCTTGACACTGATTGGGGGACTAGATAGCCTAGAGACCTAGGGTAAAGCCAAATAATACCAGTCAAAAAAATAAAAAAAGAAAATATAGTGATGACTCCTAATGATATAAATGACTTCTAATATAATAAACAAATTACACTTATAATAGGAAATAAAGGGTTTCACACACCAGTATTCCAATACCTGTTTGTTGATAGTATACTGTAATTTCTCAGGCAGAAAACCCAGCAAGTAGGCCCAGCTGGCCTGACGCCACAATGCCTTGATAGCATTGATAGCCTTGATAGCATTGGCTGAAGCTGCCACTGAACTGCTTATAGGAGCATCCCCAAGATCTGGAAAGAGAATGTCTGGGATGCTCATAGCAAACGAAGCTGGATGAGGCTTGCAGGGAGAGTGGACTGTAGCAGATTTACCAGATGGGTCACAATGCCTGGTTTATTTATAAGCAGAGGCTTGAACCCGGATGGTGGTGCATGAAAGACAAACATTGATCATCATTCCCAGGCCC